GCATTCACTGCGGGAACGGGCGCAAATGATATGCCTGGTGGCGAAATAGCTCTAGTCACTGGCAATGCCGATTCGAGCTCGGGTAGCATATCCCTTGCAACAGCAGATGCAGCTGCGACCTCCGGCACAGTGTCGCTAATGACGGGACAGACCGCCAGCTCTGGAAGCTCTGGTTCAATAGAGGTGGCCACGTCTGGTAGTGATGATGGTGGTGGTGGAATTTCCATTGCCGCAGGCATGGGTGGAGACGACACCGGTGGAAATATCCTCGTCGAAGCTGGTGACTCCGCATGCGAAGGAGGTGAGGTCCGCATCCTTGGCGGCGGTGGCAAAGGTGACGGAGACGCGGGTGGTGTCTTTCTAGAGGGCGGCGATGCAACAGGTTCTGGTCTTGGTGGCGAAGTAAAGCTGCATGGAGGGGCGTCGACGGTGGGCGTCGGCGGCTCTATTCGCCTTGTCTCTGGCGCTAGCAAGACCTGTACATCGGGTGATTTGTACCTCTCTTCAGCCAATGCTGGTGCAGAAGGCTCGAGCGGTAGCGTATACCTACGAACAGGCACCGCCTCGACCCAGAGTTCAGGGACAGTCAGTATCAGCACTGGGACGTCCATCCAAGGTTCTGCCGGAATGATATCGCTGGCGGGGGGGGGGGGGCACCACGTTGGTGGTAGTGTCGTCATCGAAGGTGGTAGTTCGTCCCACCCCGAAGGTGTCGGAGGCGACCTGTGCTTTTCGTCGGGTGCAGGGTTGCGAGAATCCGGTGCGCTCGTGTTGAACACGCCAGATGCGGACAGTGGTGGCAGCGGCGAAATTGCCTTTGTGACTGGAAATAGCCTGGGTGGAACATCTGGTGGTATCACCGTCGCTGCGGGTTCGGCTACCCAAGGAGTTTCTGGCGCCGTGGAGTTGACAGCAGGTACTGGTCTCCTCGGGGGTGGTATTTACGTTACTGCTGGGGCTTCTACTGGTCCGAGCGCCGATGGCGGCTCGGTTGAGATAACGGGTGGCGACTCTGTTCATGGCGCGGGCGGTGCAGTCACTGTAACTGCTGGTGAAGGCCTCGACGAGGCCGGCGATGTCAACTTGGTGGGAGGTGACTCTCAGGAGCTGGGAGGTGGGGTATGCATCATTGCGGGAGACTCCGGGTCAGAACTGGGAGGTGACTGCGTTTTGATGAGTGGTTCGGGCACCGTGGGCAGCTCTGGTGCCTGCCTTTTGAGCACTGCAAATGTTGGTGGGTCAAGCGGCTCGGGAATACTTTCTCTTACGACAGGCACTGCGGCCTTTGGAACCTCGGGGGATATCGAAATCACGACAGGCTCGTCTGAATACGGCACCGCGGGTAGCATCATCTTTGGCGTCGGCGAAGCCACCTCTGGAGATGGTGGTGATGTGGCCATCGCTGCTGGTGCCACCTCGGCCAATGCAGCCACGGGCGGCACGTTGACACTCCAAGGTGGTGATGGGACATCACCAGATGCGCAGGATGGCGGCGATGGTGGCACGATCGTCCTCGAGGGCGGAGCTGCGCTTGGGCGCGCACGATGTGACACGGGCGGTGCCCTTATCATCAGTGGTGGAGCCGCGACGCACGGTACTGGCGGCTCTGTTGCGCTTCAGTCGGGAGCCGGGCAAACTGGCTCGTCTGGCCACGTTATCCTGGGGACCCCGGATGCTGGGGGCGATGGCGCGAGTGGAAGTGTATCAATCAACACAGGAGACGCCCTGAGTGCTGATTCGGGACAAATTCTGCTTGCGACGGGCAACTCCTTAGATGGCGCAGGCGGTGCCATCAACCTACGCGCTGGTGATGGCGACGTCGGTGATGGCGGAGATATTTCACTAGAAGCTGGTCAAACTTCAGCTGAAGCGTCGAGGGGAGGCATGATCACGCTCAAGGGTGGCACGGGAGCTTCGACTAACCTTAATGACGGTGGTGATGGAGGCGCTGTTTCGCTGACGGGTGGAGAGGCGCGAGGTTCAAATATGAACGACAACGGTGGAGACGTCTCGATAATTGGTGGACAGTCAGAATGTGGCTATGGGGGGCGGGTTCGCATCTCCAGTGGCCTATCAACACAGACGTCGAGTGGTGAGGTCCTTGTTGCGACGGGCAATTCGGGTACAGGCGGTGTGTCTGGGTGTATGACCCTATCCACGGGAACTTCTAAAGACGGGCGGAGTGGAGCTATTGAAATAGTCACAGGGGCTGCGACGTCTGGCCGGGGAGGGTATATAAATGTTAAAGTTGGCACTGGTGATTCTGGTGAGGGTGGTCAGGTTGAAGTTATCGCAGGTGACACAACGGATACCGCAACCGGTGGGTTCCTACTGCTGCAATCAGGGTTCTCGTCTGAGACATCTTCCGGATTCCTTAGTCTTGCCACTCCAAATGCCGGGGCGATGGGTGTGAGTGGAGAGATCAGTGTAGCGACTGGTACTACTTCGGCGGGGAATTCAGGAGCAATTGCGCTAGAAACTGGCCTGTCGTACGATGGTCACGGCGGTCACATCATGGCACGCGTTGGTACTGGTCACTCGGAAGACGGCGGAAATGTTTATGTCACCGCTGGTGAGACCACCGATGATGAGGCTACTGGCGGTTCTGTGACAATTCAGGCCGGCGAGGGGTCGTCTACGTATCAATACGATGGAGGGAATGGAGGTAGGATACAACTTTTCGGTGGTGCTGCGCAGGGGGGTCTTTCAGAGGATGATGGCGGGAACCTAGAATTCGCTGGAGGCTACGCAAATGAAGGGCGGGGCGGTTCCTTTATTGTACGCACTGGGTATGGCGAGGCAGCATCGTCTGGACTGATTGATATCTCCACCGCCAATGGCGGCGAACAAGGTACTAGTGGGTCGATTGATTTCTCGACGGGAACGAGCTCGTACGGCAACTCTGGCTACGTTAATGTAGAGACGGGCTGGGCATCAGGCGGACGTGCTGGATATATTCATGTGCTGGTTGGCACCGGAGATTCTGGTGCGGGGGGGGACTTCGTCGTTGTGAGTGGTTCTACGACCGCCTCCGCGACGGGTGGGCTCATTTCGATTACGACGGGGTACTCTGAGCCGACTACATCAGGCACCTTCTCGTTGGACACAGCTAATGCGGGTCGCAGTGGTGTTTCTGGTGGCATCCACCTCACCTCGGGCACGTCAAGCGCGGGCACATCAGGATTGATTTCTATGGCAACAGGTGATGCTGTCTCTGGCGCTGGGGGTAATGTTGAGGTCTTGGTCGGCACGGGCAATGATGGTGATGGTGGCGACGTGGTCATTGCCGCGGGAGAGACAACCGCCAAAGCCGCATCGGGTGGCTTGGTCCTCATTTCGGCAGGTCATGGGTCTTCGACTGCGAGCGATGATGGCGGCGACGGTGGCGCGCTGCTTGTCTATGGGGGTGAGGCCCGCGGGCTCGAGCCAACTGATGATATCGGCGGTAACGTCGAGATCGTTGGTGGCTGTGCCGCCGCGGCTACAGGTGGATCCCTTCTTTTCCAAAGCGGCTACGGTGCCAAGACTAGTTCGGGAAATGTACGCCTCTGGACGGCGAACGGCGGCGACACTGGCAACGGCGGTGTGTCTGGCTGTATCTCTCTTGAGACGGGCACGACGACGTTGGGAAACAGTGGATACCTCTACTTCGGCACTGGTGGTGCAACCGATGGCACCGGGGGGAATATCACGCTTCAAATTGGCACGGGCGATTCTGGGGATGGAGGAAATATCTACATGTATGCTGGTGAGACAACTGACGCGGCCCAAACAGGTGGTTGCATCTTTGTTGAAGCAGGACACGGCTCTTATTCGAATTCAGGTCAGGATGGCGGGTGTGGTGGAGAGGTAAGCATTCAGGGCGGTGCCGCCTCGGGCGGCGTGGCCACCAACGTAGGCGGTGATCTCAGCCTCTATGGCGGTACAGCTGCTGCTGGTTCGGGGGGTACAGTCAGCTTGCAGAGCGGTCATGGTACCTCCACGTCCTCGGGTGATATGACAATACAGACGGCCAATGCAGGTAGCGTTGGTGTTTCCGGAAATATTCTCGTTTTCACGGGCACTGCATCCCATGGAAATTCAGGATTCCTCAATTTGAGCACGGGCAACTCATATGATGGCCAGAGTGGTGATATCTCCCTTGTTGTTGGCGATGCTTCCTGTGGCTCTGGCGGGGATGTAATTTTCTCTGCGGGCTCCACGTCCACATTGAACGGGCTCACAGGCGGTAGTGTCTATATGACTTCTGGTGCTTCGACCCTTTCCACATCTGGGTCCATTTTCATCCAGACAGCCGATAGCGGATCCTCTGGTACCAGCGGTCCTATTAGCTTCCTCACTGGATCTGCGGTCATCGGTAATTCTGGAGCAATCACGATGGAAACCGGATCTACTACCCAGGGCGGGTCGGGGGGCGTCATCTCCATCTGCGTCGGGACGGGCGCCTCGGGTGACGGCGGCGATCTTGAGCTAGTCGCTGGTGACTCGTACGCGGAAGATGGAACTGGCGGTTCGTTGAACTTGATCGGGGGGGGTTCTACCAACACCAACGGCGGCAATGGCGGGGATGTCTGCCTAGAGGGCGGCGACGCCTTCGGGTTAGACGCCGAATTCGATGTTGGTGGGGAGGTCTCTGTCTTTGGTGGTGCAGCACAAACGGGCAGCGGGGGTTCCGTGACTATCGCCTCTGGTCTGGGTGCGGCTAGTACTTCGGGCGCGATTAAAGTGCAAACGGCCAATGCAGGGGATGCTGGCGTGTCTGGTGACTTGACGGTCTCTACTGGAACGTCGAGCCTTGGAAACTCAGGCGCCATCCGATTGTCGACAGGGTCGGCGGCGGAGGGCGCTGCTGGTGCTATCTCTCTTATTGTAGGCAGCGGCGATTCTGGCGCAGGTGGTAGTCTGACCTTGCAGGGTGGTGGTCTCGTGGACTCTGACTTAGGGGAGACGGGTGGTCAAGTTGCAATAGCCTCCGGATACGCGACTGCGTCTAGCTCTGGGTCGATTTCACTCGAAACGGCCAACGCCGGGGTTGAAGGAGTTTCGGGTAATGTTATCCTTGCAACAGGAACTGCGTCCAATGGCAATTCTGGCGCAATCACGCTCAAGACTGGATCAAGCTATGATGACGCTGGCGGTGCCATTGAGCTTACTGTTGGTCCCGCGGCGGCTGGTAGCGGTGGTGATATTTATATACGTGCCGGTGCGGCCACGGCTTTGGAAGCAACTGGTGGTGGTATCGACATCAAATCGGGTGCCGCTACAAGTACATCATCTGGCCCCGTGTCAGTCCAGACCGTAAATTCTGGAGAAGACGGGGGTTCTGGCAAGCTAGTGCTAGCGACCGGGACATCTTCTGACGGGACAGGCGGCGTCGTAGTGTCGACCGGTGAGTCTACTGGGGCAAATACAGGATGTATCACAATGCGTGTTGGCACGAGCTCTTCTGGCGCGGGAGGCGCCATTTCTTTGGCTGCTGGCGGATCGACAGGTGGAACGGACAGACGTGGTGGCTCAATAGCCATCGTGTCAGGGCAAGGCGGCACTGGTGGCAACGTGACGGTGTTCGGGGGGGACTCTGTAGATTCGACGGCGCAGGGCGGCTCTGTCATCCTAACAGCAGGTAGCTCCACAGCTGGTGATGGTGGCGCCATCAGTATTTGGTCGGGAACATCGGCCACCGGCAATACAGGCGCCATCAGCTTCGCCACAGCTTCGAGCGAGGAAGACGGTTCCGGTTCCATCACTCTACAGACCGGTGACTCCACGGGGGGTGCCACCGGCCGTATTGCAATTCGCACGGGAACAACAACTGACGGCGATGCAGGATTCATCGAGCTTTCGGTTGGAACGTCTTCTACAGGGAAAGGTGGAGATGTCACTATCGATGCGGGCGCGAGCACTGATGCTGCTAAGGGCGGAAATATAAACGTGACTTCTGGAGCATCTGCCGCGTCGACGAGCGGAACCATCACCATGGCAACCTCCGATGCTTCCAGCGCTACGGGTGATATATTCTTAGTCACTGGTCCTAGTCCTGCGTCTGAATCCTGTCGCGGGTGTGATTCCACTTGCGATCTACGGGTCTCTCTGCGAAATTTTGATTCGTGTGTTGTGGCTGCATTGCTGCGCGGTCGGGGTTACTTCATCAATACCGGGCCTCTTATCCTGTATTTTGGTCTTTTCCATAGGTGAAAGTACGAGCAAATCGTCTGGCGCTCTTGTTTTGGCTACAGGCGACGCAAATGCCGGCAACGGGGGGTCAGTCGAAGTCCTAGTTGGTACGGGGTCGTCAGGCGTGGGCGGTGCTGTTACACTTACCGCGGGGTCGATGACTGGGCCCGACACGACAGGTGGCAGTGTTGTTGCCTCTGGCGGCGACAGTCTCTCCGAGACCGGTAGTGGTGGGGATATTATCCTCGCGGCTGGCTCTGCGTCTGGTGCGTCGTCTTTGGCCACCGGGGGTTGGCTAAACCTCACCGCTGGTGCATCTGCTGGTGGTAACGGGGGGTCAATCTTTCTGAGCTCTGGTACATCCGAATCTGGGACTACCGGTGCGTTTACCCTGGAGACGGCGGATGGCTCGGGCTGCACGGGCGCCGTGCTTATTTCTACGGGTCGAGCTTCAAATGGTGACGCCGGTGCGTTGATTATTCAGACAGGCACAGCTTCTGGGGGCGCTGCGGGTGCTGTGTGGATCAACGCAGGGGCTAGTGACTCTGGACAGGGCGGGGCGCTGCTACTATCTGGTGGTAGTTCCACAGATACGACAGGAGGCCAACTTCAATTTTTGTCTGGATCGGCGACACAGTCTGCCTCGGGAGGTATTGAGGTAAACACGAGCCATGCGACCTCTGGCAGTTCAGGAGATATACTCATCGCAACCGGAGATGCCTGCGGGGACTCCGGGAATGTTTGGCTGACTACAGGCTAGCCCACCAGTGTCCTAGTTCGCACTTGCTCCCAACTCCCGAGAGACCATAATGGAGAGATCGGATCCATATATCAGTCGGCACGCGGCAATTGGGATGAGTGCAAGCACCTGACTGCTGCTTCATAGGCGACGCGACGGGCGAGTCCGGGGTGATTCAATTGCAGCTTGGGGAAGCCACCGCGGGCGTTGGTGCTAGTGTTATCCTCCAAGGCGGTGAAGCTGCTCAGCTAACAGGCGGTGATGTCGACATTATAAGCGGCTACTCTGCTGCCACGACTTCAGGGTCCATAACTATCGAGACAGCAAACTCCGGCACATGTGGGGCTAGCGGCTCAATTCTGCTTCAGACCGGCACTGGGTATGAAGGAAATAGCGGCTGGGTCAACATCTCTACAGGGTGCGCAGCTGGTACGCCAGGCTCGATTGTAGTGAGCGTCGGTGATAGCGACTCCAGCAGTGGTGGTGGCGATATCATCCTCACCGCAGGCTTTTCCACGGCCTCGGACTCTGGGGGTGGTGATATCAGCTTTGCAGGCGGTGGGTCCCAACAGAATGTAGGAGGTGCTGTTTTGATTCAGGGTGGGACCGGCGCTACAGCAGGTGGTGATATTATCCTGGCGGGCGGCGCGGCATCCGCTGGTGGGACGGGAGGTGCTCTCAACTTTACTTCAAAGTATTCGCAAGTCTCTGATACTGGTGCCCTTTATCTTACCACAGGAGCATCCAACATGGGCAGCTCAGGCTCTATTGCCCTCTCAACAGGAGATGCGGCCAATACAGCCGGTTCCGTTGACGTCACTGCTGGCTCAGGAACATCGACGGGCGGAGACCTGAGTATGACTGCTGGTTCATCAACAGGGGGCACCGGAGGGTCTTTAACTATGAGCTCGGGCGCTTCAACATCATCCTCTAGTGGTAGTTTCACAGTCCAGACCATGAATGCTGCAAGTGCTGGTGAGTCTGGAAAAGTGACCATTGCTACCGGGGAGGGCGGGACATCCGGCTCTATCACACTGGAGACTGGTGCCTCGACGAACGGCGACTCTGGGTCGATAAGTCTCTCTGCCGGGACTGCAACCATGGGTGTTGGTGGCGCAGTCACGATTCAGGCTGGTTCCTCGTCGGTGGATGATGGTGGATTCGTTGCCAGTATTTCTGGTGCGTCCACCTCGGGTACCGGTGTATCGGGATCAGTCTCGATGACGTCTGCGGATGACCAGGACACTGGCGGGTCTGGCGGCTGCTATGTGTCCACTGGCAGTGCCACGGGAACGGGCGACTCTGGCGATGTAACTGTTGCTACGGGCCTGTCCTCAGGAGGTGGTTCGGGAGATGTGCGGATCGAGTCAGGCGCTGCAGAGGACGGGTCGGGAGATGTCGTCCTGATTGCAGGTGATTCGACCACGGGCAATGGTGGAGTGATCACACTTGCTGCAGGGTCCTCGACCGGGGCGGTCGGAGGCACCGTTTCCATGCGGGCGGGTAACGGCACCAGCGGTGGCGAAGTCCTGTTGACAGCCGGTGCTGGTGGCACCGCTTTGTTGACGATCATGTCGGGGTCTGGCACCGCATCCTCAGGGAACTTGACCGCCGGGACGGCAGATCTCCAGGGCACCTTGGGTGATTCCGGTGACATAGTCTTGACAACGGGCACGGCATCTACGGGCCAAACGGGTGACGTAGCTATAACCACGGGCGAGCTTCCCGTGACTTTTAGCCTGTGGACGAATTGTTGATGTTAGAGAGAATCACGAGTTGTGTCGAAACAGTGGGGGCCCTCACGCAGACGAGATAAGTCGACCCAATTTGGGGGTTCTGTCATACTTTTGTAACTTACATTCCCCGGTTCGCAGGTGTTGCAGTGGATGGCAGGTCGGGGAGTATTGCGATGCGCGTTGGAACGGGGACCTCTGGATCCTCCGGCAACATTGAGATCACGGCGGGTGGGCTCCACGCTGAGACGGCTCCTGATGACGGAGGTGCAGCGACGGGGGGTTCGGTCATACTGACCTCCGGCAGCGCGGCCTTCGGCGAGAGCGGGCCCATCACGCTAGCGACTGCAGACGGTGGGGAGAATGACGGCAGTGCCAGTTTTGTTGACTCCGGTGGTATCAGTCTCGCGACTGGCACGGCCCCTGTTGGCGCGGGAGGTGCTATCGACATAAACGTTGGCACTGGATTTTCTGGTCCGGGGGGATCGGTGTGCCTCACGGCGGGTGACGCCCTCAATAGCGCATATTCCGGTGGCGATATAATCCTAGATGCTGGTTTATCAGAGGCGGTCGGTGGATCGGTGGAGCTCACGTCAGGCTGGGGCGCAACAACATCGGGCACGATCCTGCTCCAGACAAACAATGCCAGTTCTACGGGAAGATCCGGTTCGATCTCTCTGACCACGGGTACCGCCTGTGGAAGTTCTGGGTCAATAAGTCTGAAGTCTGGCGATGCAACGGCTGCTCAGGCTGGTCAAATCCTCATGTCTGTCGGGCTTTCGAGCTCCGGTGCGGGAGCGGCGATGTCTCTCGCTGCAGGCTCCTCCTCAGTAAGCGACGGCGGTGACCTCGCTCTTTTATCTGGCGCCAGTGCCGCACAGAGCGGGGGAGCCTCTATCATCACGGCCGATGGCGGAGCCACTTCTGGAGATAGTGGTTCGCTCACCATCGCATCAGGTGAGGCGAATGCGGGTTCCTCGGGCGCAGTCACGATTTCATCTGGACTAGCGAGCGACGGCGCCGCCGGTGCCATCACGTTCTCAGTCGGAACAGCAACCAGCGGCAACGGTGCTGATCTTACCATGACGGCTGGTGCAACAGACGATGGCAGCAGTGCTGGGGGAACTGTTTTAATAACAGCTGGTGCTGCAACCGGCCTCGCTGGAGTCGGAGGTGATGTGCAGATCTCGTCCGGAGAGGGCACCACATCTGCGGGAACTCTTTCTATTGGATCTGGGGACAGTACCGCAGGTACCTCAGGCGCTTTGACCCTCAGCACGGGCGCATCTCTATCTGCTAGCTCCGGGAGCATCTCGCTTACAACAGGCGCGTCAAGCACGGGAGCTTCCGGCAACATAGCCGTTTCTTCGGGTGCGTTTCCAGTGTCTGTTCACAGGGACAGGTGTTTTTTTCGGGCAATCCGAATATGGGAATCTGAGAGTGCTTCCGATCCGGGATTATCTAGTCTCTTTCTGAGGTTAAAATATTTTCCCCATGGCCTTCTTTCATCATGGTGTTTTTTACCCTCCTTTCGTTCCATTACTTTTTCCAACCTGTCTGTAAACATAGGCGACTCTGCTAGTGGCAACGCCGGTGACATCTCCTTAGAAGGCGGTGCTGGCACACTAGGCGCTGGTGGTTCCATCTCCGTTGTTGGTGGCACAAGCACGGGGGAGGGTGGCGCGGTGGTCGTTACGAGTGGAGACGGCATATCGGCTGGCGGGGATGTCACAATTGCAACACCAGAGTCGAGTTCTGGCGACAGCGGCGACATCTTCTTCGCCTCGGGCGCTGCCACGAATGGAAACTCGGGCAAGGTGGCAATCTCCGCGGGTAGGTCGACAGGGGATGCAGGAGGTGTTGACCTGACTGCGGGTGACTCTAGTGTTGGCACTGGCGGTGACTTGACTATAGCTGCTGGCGATTCCAATGGCGCCGCCGGGGGCGCGGTATCCATAACTGGGGGCGCTTCCACGGGGGGTGCAACTGGCGACGTTTCTATTGCGACGAGTGCCTCCACGACAGGGCAAGCGGGCGATCTTGCGGTCATGACAGGCGATACGGGAGGGACCGCGGGCGATATAAGCATAGTAACAGGCCCGCGCCCCGGCGTCCATCTGGCTCGGTGTCTTATATTGGAAATACGTTTGCCTCTCGGGCTCAAATTTGCCTCTCCGGGACGTGTATTGCGCAGCACTCTGTTGTTGATATGACCTCCAATTATTTATATGCTGATCCGACTCCTCGTAGGCGACTCGACTGTGGGGGGGTCCGGTGACATCACTCTAAGCACGGGGACCTCCACAGGGGACGGCGGTGATATCACCTTCCAGGCTGGAAGCTCGACTGCCAACACAGGTGGCGACGTGTCCATAACTGCCGGCGGTACCACAGGATCCGCCACACTCTCGAGTGAAGATGCCTACATCAAGCTCCAGGGCAACGATATTGATATTGTTAGTGGTGCCGCCGGTGATATTTCATTCGTGGTGCCGCAGACTTCTACAGCCGGGGGCACCATTGGCTGGGGCTTCAGTAGCAGTGGAGTTCCGTACGATGGCTCGGCAACATATGATGTCCGTCTCACCAACGACGGCACAAGCTCAATGTTCGTCTCCAACGTGCCCGTCCAGGTGACGACGCTGTACTACTCTTCAGATCGCCGCATCAAGAAGGATTTTCGGCCGGTCGACACTGAGGATCTGCTTCATCGACTACAGAAAGTGCAAATGACGGAGTACGGGTATTCAGATGAATGGCGTGCGGTGAGGGGCATACCTGACAAGCGAGTGCGTGGCGTTATTGCCCAGCAGCTCAATGAGATATTCCCAGAGCACATTACGATTCTCGACAAATATGCCCTGCCGGACAAAGACTTCAAAAAGGAGTCATTTTACCAAGTTGATAAACAGGGTCTTGTCCTCGATGTGATTGGTGGGCTTCAGGCCCTTCATGAACGGTACTCCATCGGCGAGTCCACAGCCACAGAATCTGGAGCCCTTCGCATGACAACGAAAGATGCGCCAATCTCTGGTGCGATACTGCTCAAGACTGGTGATGCGTCCTCAAGCTCGAGCGGTGATGTGAGAATCGAGAGTGGCATTGCAAACAGTGGTGAGAGCGGGTCCATATCACTTGTGACAAGCGCGGAAGCTCGAGAAGCAGGAGATATTGTGATGTCTGCTGGTGTCGGCGCTAGAAATGGCGGAAGTATATCCCTGACTGCGGGTAACAGCGAACGGGCAGGTGACATCGCGCTTAGCTCGGCGAGGGGGGGCATTGCCCTGACCACTGGTGAGACACTAAATGGTGGCAACGGAATCACCATCACCGTTGGTGATGCTCCAACAGACAATGGTGGCGAGATCTTGCTTGCCGCCGGGCACTCGATCGACGGCAATGGCGGCATTGTGCAGCTACATGCTGGTGATGGGAATATGTTGGGCGGGGACCTCCAAGTCATCGCAGGCGATGGTGATGTAGGTGGAGGTATCTGCTTGAAAGCTGGGGCCGGTAATGATCAGGGCGGTGAACTATACCTGACAGGTGGTCGCAGCTCTGAAGGGGCTAGTGGTGATTTAGGCATCGCTAGTTCTGATGGCGCTGAGACCGGAGATGTAGTGGTCAAAACGGGGGAATCGACTCGAGGCAATTCAGGCGAGTTGTCCATCACAACAGGTCATGCCGCTAATTCTGCTGGGAGTATTTCGCTTTGTACTGGCCAGGGTGCCACCACTAGCGGTACAATTGATATCCTTTCAAGTGGGTCATCAAATGGGCGCGGGGGGGGTCTGACCCTCGCTTCAGGCACAGGCACAAGTGGTGGGCATGTGGGCATAGATGGTAGCAGCATCGCGCTGAACGCAGGCAGTTCTGCTGGGGGTTGTGGTGGAGGCGTTGATATCCAAGCTGGCTCTGGCCTTGGAGGAGGCGACGTCGTGGTGAACGCTGGGGGGTCGCTTGTGCTCGAGACTGGTGCTAGCTCTGAGAGCTCAGGCGGTAACGTTACTGTGGCTACGTCGGGGGGACACGCTTCCGGCGATATCTCCATTTCTTCCGAGCGGGTGGAAAGCGAGAGTGGAAACGTGATTCTGGAAACTGGCGACGCACCTGTTGCTGCTGGTGCATCTCTATCCTTGGAGGCAATTCCGGGGGAGCGTCCGGGTCGAGCGTTGCTTTCGAAGCTGGCAACGCGGCCACTGATTGGGGTGGAAGTGTAGACATTGTGGCAGGTGGTGGATGTGAGGGCGGTTGCATCGTGGCAAGGGCAGGCGATGGCGGCAGCAGCGCTGGTGGCAATGTTGATCTCACAAGCGGGGGCTCAACATCTGACTCCAAGAGTGGCGGCATTGCCATCGAGTCTCGTGCGTGTGCACAGAGGTCCGGGGATGTCGAGGTCTGTAGTGGTCGTAGTGGTGAGTATGACTCGGGCGGGCTCATGATCTCGACTGGCGATGCGAATCAAGACAGTGGCTCCGTCAGCATCAGTGCGGGTCGTAGCTTGGCGGGGAGTAGTGGTGACCTTTGCCTTAACGGTGGTGATTCATCCGAGACACATGGTGGTTATGGCGGATCCACGAGCCTCTCCGCTGGGTCTGGTGACATTGGTGGGGGGCTTAGTCTGAGCGCTGGGGACGGAGGCACTGGTGGAGGTGGAGACGTTCAGATCGGCGCCGGTGTGTCTTTGTCTGATGCTGGGGGTAGCGTGGCGATTCTTGCGGGAGCCGGCAACCGCGGTGGCAGCGTAACTCTGTCTGCGGCCGATGGAACCGAGGGTCCCGGTGGTGGTATGATGATTGGAAGCGGTGGCAGTGGGACGGGGGCCGGCGGCAATGTCGAACTCGTGTCTGGGTCTGGGTCGACCGCGGGTGGCGAGATCCGACTTTCAAGCGGTAGCTCAGCCGCGTCTAGTGGTGCCATCAGGATCGAAAGTGGAGATGCGCCCGATGGTATTGCCGGCGATGTAAGTTTCGTAGCCGGCGGGAGCGGCGTAGGGGCTGGTGCGTCGATAGCTTTACAGGCGGGGGCGGCTCCCTCCGGAATCGGAGGGAGTGCTACTTTTGAAGCAGGCAACGGGCTCTCTGGTGGTGAAGTTGGTTTGACGGCGGGTTGTGGCACTTCTGGATCAGGAGGCTCCCTCGCGCTGAGCGGTGGGTCTGGCGCCACGAGTAGTGGGTGTGTGACTTTGGAGACGGCGCGGACTTCCGGCTCGAGTGGCTCCGTTACGATCGCCAGCGGAGCTGGCACCGTTTCTGGTGGCATTACGATTGGTACAGGTGACTCGGAGAGCGATAGCGGCTCCATCGATATTTCTGTTGGTGCGTCGAGCGGCGGGGCGGGCGGTGACTTAATTGCATCGGCGGGGGGCGGATCGACGGAGGGCGGCAGCGTGCAAGTTTCTTCGGGTTGCGGCGACTGCGGCGGCCAGATCACACTTCAAAGTGGATCTGGAACCATCTCTGGCGGCGATGTCTCCTTGATCGCCGGTGACTCATCCGGGTCATCCGACTCTGGGGGTTCCGTGGCGTTCCAGGCGGGAGCAGGAGGCACCGGTGGTGACCTGGTGCTTGAAGGTGGTGGCAGTGCGGGTGCTGCGACGGGTGGACTTGGCGGTAGCGTATCGATCGCTGCCAGAGCCGGTGGATCAGCTACGTTTGGGACTTCAACTGCCAAGGGCCAAAGTGGTGATGTGGCGATCACCTCCGGCGACAGTGGGACTGCAAGTGGCGAGATCCGCATGAAAACGGGCACGGCGGATAGGGCAGGAAACGTGATGATCGAGATTGGCTCGAGCTCTAGCGGGGGCGCTGGAAGCATTGATCTCGCAGCTGGAGGCTCAGCAGATGGTGTCGGCGGCGGTGTGGATATCGGAGCCGGCGATGGTGCCGAGGGCGGTTGCGTATCTCTCACTGCTGGATTTGGCGGTTCTGATGAAGGCGGGGATGTGGAACTTCTCGGTGGAAATGGTGGAAGCATATCTATTGCCAGCGCAGACAGTGCGGCGCAAACTGGCGGCGTTGAGATCTTGACCGGTCTTGCGACGACGGGGGCGTCCGGCGGAATAAGTATCTCGACTGGCGACGCCGAAAGTGGCAGCGGTGCGGTCGAAATATCTGCGGGCAACAGTAATCTAGGATCTGGCGGTCAACTGTCACTACAAGCAGGCACGGCGAATGATGGGGACGGCCCAGGCGGCTCTGCGGTACTCGCATCTGGAGAGGGCGACGTTGGCGGTGCCCTCGAGCTACACGGTGGCGATGGGGGGAAAGAAGGAGGTGGTCGTGTTAGGATCGCGGCTGGCACGTCTACCGAGGGTATTGGTGGCAGCATGGACATAGCTAGTGGATCTGGCGAGAGCGGTGGCGGTATTCTTCTGCGTGGTGCTGATGGTGTCACCGGCAATGGTGGAGAGGTGCAGATCTCCGGGGGCGAGAGTGAGTCCGATATGGGTGGCGCTATATTTGTCAACTCTGGAGCGGGTGTGACGGGCGGCGGTGATGTTAGACTTGGAACGGGGGGGGCGGTCGCCTCTTGTGGTTCGAGCGGGTCGATCACCATCGAGAGTGGCGACTCGCCTGGTGGTAAAGCTGGCGACGTGGGCTTCACAGTCGGTGCGAGCGGTAGTGGCGATGGCTCGACAATTTCTATTCAGGCTGGCGCGTCAACATCAGGCTGTGGCGGAAGCGCGCACATCGCCGGAGGCGGCGGATCATGCGGGGGTGAGATTACGATGGCGGCTGGGTCCGGCGGCGCTGGTCCTGGAGGGGCGGTGATGGTCAGCAGTGGCTCGGGGGGCGCTACCAGCGGCGATGTTTCCTTAGCGAGCGCCTCGGCTTCTGGACCGAGTGGTGGGATCTCGCTGGCAACCGGAG